ATATTATATTTTGAATTACTTTTGCTTGTCATATTCATTATAAAACATCAAAATTTTCAATCGCTCGGATAATAAACTTTAGATTAGAGTTTGTAAGATTTTAAAAAAGGAAAAAATTATAAAGTACGCAATAAAAAGTTATTTTCGTGACGTAATAATCCGTAATAGAAAAAATAATAGAAAGTAATCGAAAACGGAAGCCATAAAAAGCGAAGTTTGAAGAAGTCATTAAATGATTCGGAAGGAATTTGCTTTCTGGCCTTCATGTTTGCTATTTGGTTAATTCTTGTCAAATGTCTTAAATTAGTATCAAATTACCAAAATTAGTCATTTTTTTCCTATTTTTTATCATTCGTGGAAATGACGTAAATGCATTTTCAGTATCATTCAATTGTGTATAAAATTTGAAATTGTTTAAGATTAGTCATTTTTACACAATTTTACTTTCTTCTTCATTTATATCTAATTCTTATCCACTACTGTATTCCAAGTATAACTGAATAAAAATATTCTGATTAAATCTTAGAATAATCTTCAGAGTAAGTTAAAAATACAGTATCACAGTTACACTTCAATATTAATCAATACAAGTTTATTTTAAACAGTAAATTATTTTAAGTTACTTTAATTGCTGTTTTTGAGTTATTCATTTTGTTTATTAATTAAATATACCCTCAAATTTTTAATGGGAATAGTATTTCTCGTATCTCAGTAGTTAGTAATACCGTTTATCTACGCTTAAAAACTGTCAAACTGTAACTTTTTTTAACAGTTTATAAGTATGCATTTCAAATTTACATCTAGCCAAATAAGTTTTGTAATATTAAAAGTAAAATATTATGTTTTTAAAGGAATATTCAAATGAATGACTAAACAAAGTTTACTTGTAATTTTAATTTTGCCTTTTTAAAATATAATGAGGTCAATGAAGACAAAAATGCACAAATAATTAAAGGAATTTATAGCTTATAGAGGTCAAATATAAAAATTTGAAACCGAGCAAAGTATCTTTTAATATTAATGAAAGTAAAAAACAATTAAAAATTTCAATTTGTTCAAAAATGCTGTCAAAAAATATTATCATATCTTTCGCACTCAATTTAATCACTAAAAAATGTTTATAAGAGAATCATTTAATTAAAAATTTACAAGAATTAATGCTATTTGTTTAAATTTAAATTACTACTTATTTTTATTTGCGTAATAAATATTATTTAAAAATTTCATACAGTACATGACAGTAGCAAAAAAATTTTACTTCTTGCATTTTTAATTTTAAAGGCTAAAAAAGTAATTTTAAAATTGGATCATAACTATGTTTCAATTTTTAAAACATTATTATTGTTATTATTATTATTAACGTAAGTTACTTTTATTAACGTTTCTAAGATACTTTTATTAACGTACGTTACGTCAACTTGATGTTATGTTTTACTTTCAATGCCTTAAAAGTCGCTTTCGTCTTATTTTTTTTGTTAATTTATTAAAAATTATTATTTATTTATATTATTTATTTAGTTAAATACAATGCAATTTTCAAGATGAAATTTATAATTTGCATTGTAAAAGCCAAAAGTCAATAGAATTTTATGTAAAATGGGTGAAAACAATTATGGGTTGTCACATTCCATGCGTGTATTCCATCTTGATGTGCGTGTATAAAGTAAGGCATTTGCATTTTTAAACGAGAATGGAATAATGACTTGTGTAAATGAATAATCATTCTGTCAAATATGAAAATCGTTGTAAAAAAGTATACAAAACTGGATCTCTGAATCCTGTTTGTAACAGTTTTTGCAATGATTTCTTCTTTTTTTTTCAACTTTTTTAAGGCTAATTCTTTAAATAATAATAATTGTATTCCAAATATAAATTCCTCAATTTATGCCATTTCTTGAAGTAACGAATTTGAATCCTTGCAAGCATTCAAAGTCATTAAATAAGATTCAATTAATTTCTTTCTTATTTTCAAATCTTTAGAAAATCTTTTACAAACTTATTTTGTTAGCAGTTTGTTCTTACTTTTACTTTGTAATTTATTTATTGGTTACTCTACAATATTATAGTTCTTAGTTTTATGGTTTTCATTATAATAATTTTTTTATAATAATAAGGTTTTATAGTTTTTATTGTTGTAATTTATTTATTATAGTTTTTATTATAATTTTTGCAATTTGGAACACTTATTTTTTTAATTCTAAAATTATGAGTAAAAAATAAATGCCAAAATTATTTGATATGTTGCATTCAAAATATTTAGCATTGCGTGTATTGCTTTCATTTTGTGCAACTATTTTATTCATAAGTGTTAAGTTTAATAAAAGTTTTGCATTATTTTATTTTGCTCAATTAAACTTATAAAATATTATTGTAATTTATATTTCAACATTAATGACAAAAGTAATGGGTAATATTATTAATTAGTAAACAATAACTAATTAATTAGTAGAAATAATTAGTACTGTCATTACTGTTCTGGGGACGATTATCAGTGCCGTGTTAATATAATTAATGGGAATAAATTTAATTATGCTTTTAATCGAAATTTTAAAAAACATAATTTTTTGTTTAGAAGTTGAATTTTTTAAGACAATCTTTGAAAGCAATGTTTTATTAAAATCAAAGAGAAAAAAAAGCAAATATTGTGGAGGAATAATGAGCAATAAAAATAATTATTATAATTCTCCATATGAATATCCACTACAGTAATCAACAGATTTATTTATTAAATTTAAATTTAAGATAAAATTATTCCCATAGATTAAAAATAAATACATTGATTAACATCAAATTATTAGTTTTATATTTATATTTTGCAAATATCTCAACATTATAACGTTTTTTATTTAAAAAAATATTAATTTTATAACTATAATTTGTGATAATTTCAATTATGCAAATGAGTTTTGCATTATTTCCAGTAATGAATATAAATGCATAAAATTGAATTACTACTCTCAAATTATTCTACAAAGAAGGATTTTTATTTACTAAGTCAATTATACTTGATACTTAATGTGGTACTTGTCATAGACATCTACGCTATCATCATTATCCTTAAAGCAAATTGCATACCATTGTGATCTTTATTCAAATTTTCAACTCACAAAATTATAATTACGAGAAATTTACTCATTACATTTCACTTTAAGTTACTTAAAATTAAGCTTACCATAACAAAATTAATTAAATACTCTGTAATTCGATCAAGAAATAATTTTGAATTTATATAATAGCTTTGTCTTATCTTCTAAAATACTATACTGATTAATTAAGTATCAACTCAGTTTTGTTTTCAAAATAAAATTGTAACTTAAAAAAGCAGTACAAATTTTAAAACCATTTTTACATTATAGCAAGTGGCATTTTAATATACTTATAATTTTATACCATTTTAGGTAGATTAAATTCTAAATATTCCCTCACAATTTTTAATCGGGTGGAAAAAATCTGATTTCAAGCATTCTACTAAATTCAATTTTGCATGAAAATTACATCTTAGATAACAAAAGTAAGCTAAAACTTTCCAAAACAATTCAAAGATAGACTTTAATTAAGGTAAGTTATTTTTATTGTAATTACGATAATCCTTTACAGGTCACAAATGAGAAAATAGTACCAAAAGTTAGCTTTTATACAGTTTTGACGGTTACTCACAGATGTTTATGTTGTAAAAGTACAGTAAACAATGATAAATTATTATTGGAGGCACAATTATTTTATAATACAAAATAAATCATCAAATTAATCGATTAAGTTAAGTATGTTGATAAATATTATAAAAGATTATTATATTAAGGAATTTTTAATTTTGATGATAAATTTTTGCGCATTATCACTAAATGTAAACTTTTTATTATACATTCAAACAAATTTATCAAAAGATTTTTTGATTTTTGCTGATCAGTTTTACTTTATTTCGGATGTAATTTTTATTTCGGGTTATTTAAATATTTTGAATTATCATAATCTGTTGAAAAAACACATATCAATTTTTTAGGTTGCTAAAATAGCTTTTCACGTAACGTAGATCGTACTCTAGTAGGAAATTAATATTTACTTAAAATTTTTCTTAAACTCTAAAAATGAAAATTGGTCAATTCACAAGCAAAATAAATAAGATCAGTTTAATTATAAATAATTTTTGTAATTTTTTTGACAATGAAATTAAATTTGTAATTGAATCAAATGATTAAGAATTTTACTTCTCTTTGAAATCATTTATAAAATGCAAAAACATAAAAGTTTAAAGTATTAAATTTTAAGTAATTTAAGTAAAATTTAATCAATCTTATAAACAATTTTGAAAAATCTCACATTCGAAACAAATTCAACACTAATAACAGTTATAAATTTTTGAAGACTTTGATGAAATCACATAAATTTGATTGTTTAGCAAAATTTGAACTTTAGGTCATCACTAAGCTTAAATGATGAAAAAAATTTTGAAAGTTAGAAGATAAATGCTTTATTTTAAATGTATTTACTTTATTTAATTTATTTTCATAAGAAAGCAAAAAATAGTTCATAATAACAATATTAAAATCAACTAAATCAATAATGATTGAAACTTGGATCAAATTTATTTTTACTATCTGAAATAAATACAGTTTTATATCAATTTTAACTTAATTAAATTCTGATTTGTATCTATTATTTTGGAGGTTAATCTATTATTATATTTATGTATGTGTAATAGTTGCTTATTTTTGCATGCAAAAAATTTAATTGATTATTAAGTAAGTTAGTTGTTACAATTCAGTTCGTAATTGACAATTATGATGTGGAAAAAATAATTTTGAAGATATTTATCATTTTTTAATCTTTAGCAAATCGTTTTTCTCCACGTAAATCATTTTTGCAAATTCTGAAAAGTAAATTTTTTTGAGAAAAATTTTTGAAATTTCAACGATAAAAGTTTTAGTTCAAAACTTGCTTGCTCAGCTTGATCAAATCTTCTCATTACACTGCAAGAAGTTGACCTTTAAACCGCATGATTCATGCAGAAAACGGAAGTTGCTTCGACCTCAGGCTCAATATCGACACCGGAAGTATCCAGACAAACAGTTCCACATCACATTTATAATTCAAATTCATTTCCATTGATATTGAAACAGCGATATCTACTGATAACGATATTGCTAATGTCAACAGCAATGTCAACTTATTCAGCAGTGATTAAATCCGGTTGTCACAAGCATGGTTCACTTTTTGCCTTATTATTTTATCTAGCAAAATTAGCAGCATTTAAATATTGTTTTTAATGCAATAACAAGTTATTTACTGAAAATAATTATGTTAATCATCACTGCTATAAAAATCTTTACAAATAAAATCGTCAGAATAGAATTGGGCTTAAGTAAATTTGATCTAAGGCTAAGTAAGTTTGAATATACGCTAAGGTAAAATAAGTACTGATTTTAAATTGAAAAGTGAAATAAAAGTCAGCTCATTTGAGGTAACTGTTATTTGAATTAATAAGCACAGTACAATACAGTGAAATAAAACTGTATAGTAATTTTTGTAAATTTATAATAATCGTAGTTTTCATAAATTTATAACTTTATTTAAAAATTTTATCATATCATTCGAAAAACGTAAAATTTATTATTTTCAGTTGTTTTTTAGTCGGAATTGCTATTAGAATTTTATAGTTTTGATAATTTGCTTTAGATATGATAAAAATTTCAAACTACTTTTTCAACTTTTTCATATTTTTCTTTGTTTCAACAACAAGTAAGTATTGCTATCAATATTATAAGTATCGTTGTACTAAAATATTATGAATTTAGGTACACAGTACGTAATAGATGAACCAGGATGTGACCTTGTTGCGGTGAATGTCAATATGTGTTCCGGTTACTGTATGTCGTTTTCATTTGTAAACCCCGTAGAAAGTTCGATTACGGTACATGGAAGATGCTGTCGAATGGTTGATAATGAATGGGTTTGTTATACTTTTTCAAATTTATTGATGAAAAGTTAAATCTTTTAAAAGTATTTCTTTATTTCAAACAAGACTAAGCATTGTTGTACCTCAAAAGTATCATTGTTTTGATAGAAATTATTAACTTTTTAACTTTTTATTAAGTCAATTTCGCTGAGTTCAATGTTGAAAAATAGAAATTAAATACAATTTTGCATATTATTGAATAAGACAAATTTAAATCATTAATTCTAGTATTAATACATAATTCTTTATTTAAGTTACAATTAACTGCAATAATTTGTAATTTTTTGGTTGAATTTGATAAATTTGGACAAAAAAGAAAAAATTTGTTAAGTTCTAATATATTCAAATATCTATAAGTTTGTGAATACCTTAATTACACTTAAATATAAATATTTCTTTGAATCAACGTTTATAAACCATAGATTATATTTTGTGCTCTAATTTTTTCATCCCACAAGCAAAATTTTATTTTAATTATAAAGCTTATCCAAGCTTGAAGATGAAAACTTTTCATCTTTAATTATACAATTTAAATTTAAAGTTTAAAAGTCTCATATGTAGTACCAAAATGCTTATATCACAAAAATATGAAAGAAATTGTATGATTATTCAAATTAAAACCAAACTGTCATAAAAGTATTTAAATGAAATACCAGAAAACAATTAAATGTAAGCAGAAAAAATAAAATTCCTTTTGCATTATTTAATTTTTATTACTTTCTGTGATGAATAATAATAAAATATGAAATATAAACTAAAGAATATATTTGAAATTAAATTAGCACTTAATTTCAGGTAAGAGTAACAGTGACATGTGAAGATGGCAATCGAATAATCAAGATTCCAAGTGCGACTGAATGCAGATGTTTTGATTGTGTTTGAAAATCAGTACAGAAATAAGTGAAAGAACTTGTTTGATTCAGAATAATTATCAATATTTTTGGATTCATCATTATCTGCCATTACAAATTACTTTATTGCATTGAATCGAAAAGAAATTTTGGATAGCAAATCAGATTCAATAATTTCTTTTAATTTCATCCTAGTGCTTCAACTTTACCAGACATGTTCACATTGATGCTTAGCATACTCAAAAAAAGTTATGGAATGAAATTCAAATACTACTATCGTATCCAACAAAAAATACCTAAATTCATATTCATTAGAAAAAAAATAATATAGTTTGATGTACACTGGAAAAACTGCGCAAAAAATATTACTAATGAATCTGCAGCATAGTTTAAATAAGTTCTGGTGTGACTAATTTAAAAATCAAGAAAAAATAACTCAGTTAATAATATTTTATAAAAATTGAATAAGAACTCAAAAAAGTTGATTATGAGCTATAACAAGTCAAAATAATAATCTAGTAAAGTGTGAAAGATTTTACGGAATACAAAAATTGTTAATTTTGCAAAAATAATTATAAAACATGAAAAATAATAATTACAAAATATGAACAAATTATTAGTATACATATATATGGAATAATGAAGTCAAAAGTTTTTAAAATTGGCTAATAAAAATAGAGGTCATAGAGTACAAGCAATAATTTAGCTCATTATAAAGTTAAAGTTTCGATTTCACAAAATTGGTCAGTCAACTATGGTCATTAAAAGAGTTAAATTATTAGTATTAAAAGATACAAACTTGGATTAAGTTATCGTGGTATAATGCAGTTTTACTTTCATTCTAAACACATATTTATTAATTATTAAAAACTAAAAAGATCAAACTTTATTCACTCCAATAATTAACAGATTAAAAAGTGTATAAAAATCAGAAATGTATTACTTAAATACAGAAGCGAAAAAATACTGTACTAAAAACCAATATCAAAATTTATGATGTTAAAAATTTTTTACTTATTTTACTCTATATTTTTATTTTTTTAAACTTCATCGTTGTGCAAAATATCAAATAGTATTTAAATGATATTGAAATAAAATTTTTAACAGTAAATTCAATATAAAACAATACTTATCAGCAAGAAAGGACCTTAGCTTTTGATTTCAAATTTAATTCTTTAGTTTCCAATTATTTTGATTCTTTTTTAAGGCTCAATTAGTTTTCAAATAAAAATTTTTGTAAGTAAAAATAAAAAGTAGTTTTTTCAGAAACAACTAATAAAATTTTGCCACAATTCGTCTTCCTTATCTTCAGTTATTATATCAGCAATATTTTATGCTTTGTTGCTTATCTGAGATCTAAATTAAGATCTTTTAGTTCAGAATTAGCCCTTAATTCAATGCAAGATTTGATTTTTCAAAAGTGTTAGCACTTATTATAATCATTTATAATTTATTACTTTAAATTCACTCAAAAAAATAAAAATAAAAGAGAAAATTTAAAAATAAAACAGTTTTGAAATGATTTTTATTTTCGAAACTCAAGAAAACATATGCATTATTTAAAAATAATTTTGTATTAGATTAATAGTTTAGCTTAAATTTAAACTTTAGAAAAAATTTAAAAAATTTTTCACTTGTGACTACAAAAAGTTCCGTTCCCTCAGAAATGTGAAGTCTTTTTGAATTTACTGTAAAAAAAATTATTCAAACATATTTGTTATCAATAGAAAGCAATGGTAATAATTTAATAAACTTTTAAAATAAATATTTATTTTTGCAACAATTTTAAATAATGTTTCTTTCTTTGACAGAACAAATTAAAAGCGATTTAATCATTTTATCCCAAATTTTACACAATATCACCTTTATTAAAAAGATTTTCTTGTATTTATTCAAATTTACAACAAAACAGTTCAAAAACTGATCAAAGATACTGTAATAAGTCGATAAACTGAACTAAAACTGAAGTTTTCCTTCAGATAAGTCCATCAAGTAAATTTTTATTTAGTGATGTATTATCTCTAGCACAATTAACTGAATGTTTCTTTATTATTAAATGAGCTTATAATATGAAATGCTTCTGAGTATTTAACATCAGATATATTCAGTACTAATTATCAGCTCATGAAGCATAAATTTAAAAAATACATTAATGATTTGAATTATTAAAGAGATCAAGTATCGCTTTAATTCCCAAATATTATACATCAACAAGTTTATACTTTTTATAAATTTTCTTTTTTTTCTAATTTTTTTAATATAAAAATAATTTTGTGCAAAAATCTAAAGTGAATAAAAAAGATTTCCTATCGGATTAAAGCTTTTTTTTTAATTTTTTGCCTAAGCACAATTTAAAGTTTTCAGCAAAATATAAAAGCATAAAAAAACACAAAGTTATAAATTTGGAAATGTAAATTTTGAAGCTCAAAACTGATTAAATCCATGAAAAGCTCGCTGCTTAAATTTGACAAAATTGATGAAAACAGAAAGTTTTTTTTCAATAATTTATTTTCATATTTGATCAAAATTTTGATCAATCAATTTGAGATGAATACTACTAATACTTATTGGCAAATATATCTTTGCTACTTTCAAATTTATCAAAATTCTATACGTTCTAAAAGTTTTGCATTTTTTTTTACTTTTATTTTTTTGAAAGCTTTTATAAAAACAAATTATATTAAGTATCAAACATCTTCAGTAAATATGAGTGACAATTTAAATGCCATTTGAAATGATACAATTAAATTGAAGAATAAAGAAAATTCTCATTCTAAGTAAGTGCATAATACTTACTTATACGTATATACTTATGGGTTTTACTGCGTATATATGTACGTGTAGAAATGAATATTAATTAATAAATAAGTATATTTCATTATATATTTGCATATAATATAGATACTTACACTAATTCATCCGTAATAATTATGCTATTTTTTTGTCAGAAGGAGTAGAAATGTGTGAAAACTGAAAATAACGATATTCATAAAAATATCCGTTTGTGAGAAATGACTGTTTAGTTTAAATGGAATGATGGCGAGGAAGGGATAAAATTTATTATTACGTTATTTGTCTGTTTTCAACTCACAACTGTTTTTAATTCTATAATTAAATATATACTTAATTTGTTGAGTAATTAAATATATACTTAATTTTTTAATAATAAACAAAATAAATGGATAAATAATTTCATAAAAATATATCCCTAACTTTTACTGAGATAATAAATAACTGTATTACTGAAGTAATAAATAACCTCAATTTATTATATATATTAGACTTTTTCTGAAGTAGTAAATAATTGTATAAATATTTTTATAAAAGTATATTCCAAACTATTTTGAAGTAATAAGTAAAATAACTGTAAAAATAATTTTTGAGTACTTATACAAAATATGTCAAAATACGTTTCAATAATAATGCTGAGAAATGGATTTGTATTTGTAAGCAGTATAAAACTAATATTTAAATTACTTTTTTTACATTTTGAATGAATATTTTTGAAAATCACTAATTATTAACTGCGAAAAAGGATTCTAAAAGGATAAAAGTAACATGCATGTAAGTAAATTATTTTATTATTAGCTAATTTGATATTTACAAAAAATTTTGATATTTATAATTTTTATACCTTTATTCCTCTATATTTTTTTTCATTAAAAATGCATATTTATTATCAGTAAAGTTTAATTATAGTTTTAAAAAAACTTAATAGTAATAATATTTATAATCAAATATGAAGATATCAGTAATAGAGTATGAATTTATTGCTTTGTTATCATATTCATATTTAAGGCATAAAATATTTTTATAAAGTAAAACTCAAATTATTTATTACTGAAGTAATAACTAACTTAAGTTTTACTTACTGACCTGATAATAATTAATTAGCAAATGACCTGCAACAAAGAGATTACCTACAATTTTCCATTCACTACTTGCTTGTTTATGAGTTGTGTTGAAAATCTCGATTTTAATTAAGGTAGTATAGTAACAGATAAGATAATAAGTTATTTCTACTTTTATATTTGATAAAAGTTATGTTATTATCTGTGCTATGCAAAATATTGAGAAAGAAAGTGCAATATTAATTAAATATATAATTTTTGTAAATAATTTTAATAAATAATATATTGACTAAACATGCCTAACCCATATATCGAAATTTTAATTAATTACTAATTTACAGTCTTGTTTTTAAGCTAAAAAATATAGCTAAAAATGCAGACAAACATATTTAGTCCTTTTTATCATAAAATATACTTTACTTCATTATCTGAATATTTCAGTAAAATTAACTTGCTTACTGTCTTTACAATTAATTATTGTTTATTATAATAAACTATAGCAAAACGATTTTTGTGAAAAAAAGCAACAGTATTAAATATTTGTATAATTTAAAATTTACAAAAACTATGGTACTGTGCCTTTATTCAAATAAAGAATAACGAGTTTTGTATTTTTTAAATTTAATACAATTTTGATAACTTTTTGGACATTGTTTGATTTTTTTAATGATATGAATTTTTTTAAATGATTTATTTATTTTCTATTTTTTTCTGTGATTTTAAAGTAAGCAAAAAAATTTCTGTGTGTAAAGTTTACTGAGTTATTTATGCAAGAAAATTAATTGAATTATAGTTTGATCAAACTGAAAATATTGAACAATTCAGCTATTAAATGATACTAATTATATTAAAGCCATTTAAGAGTTTAAATGATTTTCGAATTAGAAATCATTAGTATATTTAATGCATTATTTTAATTCATAATAATCAAAATAAAAGCTGTTAATTTCTTTTAGTAATTAATTTAAAATTAAAATATTAAGCAATTGCAGATAATGAAAGACAAGCATTTTGGAGTATTATTTATTTATTATTTAACATTACTCATAATATGCCACCTAATCTTGCAAGGAGGTTGTTCTGAAGGCAATGATGGAATCATGCAGTTATGTCCTTCAGGTGGTGAATCTTTTAACACTGCTTGGCAGTTAGCTTGTGGAATCAAGAAAAAACGATCTTTGCCCATAAGAGGTTGAAAACATTTTAATTTTATTTTTATTGTTTAGCTTTTTTAATTACAATTTTTTTCTCCTTTGAATGCTAATATTATGATCGATAATTATACAAAAATTATGTAAATAAAATAAGTAGTAAACATTTAGAATAAATTATCAAAATTGAATTATTTTTCTTTTTATAAATTCTAATTAAAATAATTTAATTAACAGTTGGAAAACAAAGGTTGAAACGTGAACTTCTTTACCGTCCACTTACAATGACTGAAATGATGGATTATTGCTGCAAATTTGGTTGCACAATTCGTGATTTATTACCGTATTGTGATCCATTTGGTGGTTGGAATGCTTGATTGTTATCATTCTTATCATTACTAATATTGTCATCATTAACAGTATTACTTTTATCATGATTATTAATGATGAAGTAGCTCTTCAAAATTTTATTATTAGCACAACACAACTAATGCAAGTTGAATAAAGTTTAAGTTATTAATTTAAGCTACACCAATAATTACTTTTTCATTATTTTATCTTGATTAAGAATATAAAGATCAATTGCACTTTTTTAACATTAAAAAATTAATTTTGTTAATTTAAGCAAAGAAAATCATATTTATTTCAAATTACATTTCTTAGTCAAATTTCACTAATCCCTTCAATGGACATAGATTATTTTTTATTTTGACCCATAGCTTATTTTCTGACAAAAACTTTGTATATTTTTTGATAATAAAATGTAAATAAATAATTGCTCTAATATTATATCGTAAATTTCGAACTGAATACTGAATAACTGCTTAATCGAAATAAGAATTAATACTGGAAGATATAATTTGCTACTTTTTGCTAAACCTACGAAGAAAAAAACACGCAGAAACTTTTGTGCTAATGCTAACTTTATCTTAAATTAAATTTATTTTGCTTACAGCAAATTAATTAATTGAACTTAATTTCTGTGTCTATTATTGACATTATTGTTTATTAATTTTTTAAACTCCAAAAAATTTATGTGTTTTTTACCTAAAATTATCGCTTTATAAATTACAAATTTTTAAGTCAGTAAAACTTTTTTTGTGGAAATAAAATGACTGATTCATAATATATGCATAAATATTTTATCCTACACTAATAATTAATCAACTTTTACTTTCAATCTTTATTTCAAACTTAAAAACTTTGCAGTAAAGTTATTATTCGGAATTCTAGGACAGTACAAATTTTAGATCTAAATTATTGTACTGATTTTTGAACAGTGTCACTAATTGAATTATTCGTGATTATGAACAGTGAAGTATTATCATAAAGTAATAAAAACCATATTGATAAGTATATCTAAGATGAGTATTTCATGAAATATCAAACAAAAACTTTTCCTTAAAGCATAAAACAGAATAAATTTTATATCTTCACAACACGAATGCAAATATGATTAATTTCAAATTAAAAAACAGTACAAAATTTAATAATATTCATTTTTGATAATTTTTTGCACAAAAACAGAGAGTAATGCTTAGTGAAGCAATTCAAAAAATTAGCATCTCAAAATAATTGTATTTTGCATAAGATGTTCAACGATTGCGGACACAAATGAGATTAAAACAAACTAAAATGCTAATTAAATATTAAAACTTGTTATTTAATCAGCTTTTAATGAATATTAATATTATATTTTAAATAATTTTTAATGATCAATTTGAAATTATGGACAATTTTCGTTAAAAGGATGTAAGTGCAAAAGTGAATAAATATTGCAAAAATAATTTATTATTTATTTGTGAATATTCTGTAATACAGTAAATGTGACATAGAATATTATATTGTTACAAAATGATCAAAAATGGTAAAAAAATTGCGCCTGATCTTCATTACTAAACTGTGATATTTTTGTTGATTTATCGGTGAAAATATCAGTAGATAGTGATGTTGGTGGCTTTCCCTGTGGTAGATTTTGTTGATGATAATATCTACCACTTTCTTTACAAGGAATCTGAAGCATTAGTAAAAGAATTTCTACAACACAGAATCAACATTTGCTTGAATACGTTATTCTTTTCAGAATAATTAACCTTTCGTGTCACAGATAATTACGCATTTTCTGCATTGAATTTTGACTATAATAAAATGTTTACAATATAAAATTGCTGAATGTAATTAATTCATTTAATCTTAGTTCTCTTTTTATAATATTTAAGTGAATAAAAATTTCAACTATTGTCAGGCAATTTTTCTACAACTTTAAAACACCAAAAAATATTAATCAAAAAAATAAAAGTAATAGCAAAATTGAATAATTTGTTTATACATTTTCGCAAAATTATAATGAGCGATCAAAAATAAAAATGAAATTTTAAAAGGTTAAATAAAGATATCTTTATTTTCGATAAAGAAAACAAGAGATAATATACAAAAACAAAATTCAAAATTAAATTCATACATATATTTGCGACATTCTAAGCATGCCTGCTTTCGTGCGCAAATCTTGCATGCTTGTTCTCGACTGGCTATTAATCGAGCAATCTGTTAAACTTTCGTAGAATCGACTTTCAATTAAACTTTGCAATTGCTTCCGAAACTGATCTCGACGTGAGAATAACAGCCTGTTGAGTCGATCCAAACTTAAGGATTTATTTGCTGTCTGTAATGATTTCTTTAAAAACTCAAATTTTCATTCCTAAAAACGCAAAATTGTAGAATATTTATTAAAAATGAAGAAATTACAAAATAAAAAAATGCTAATTAATCTGAAATATTAAAAGTAATTGTTAAAAATAAATCATCAATTTTCACTTAAACTTCTGTATAATAATTTAAGTATTCAAGTTATGAATGATGTTATGAAAATATTCAAGTTATATTCAACTGAATTATGTTATTAAAATATTCAAGTTTTATTCAAATAATTAGAATATTCAAGTTATGAATCACAATTTGCCATATTTTAATATATTAAATAAATGAAGTAATAACCAAAGCAGTAGATATCTCGGGAGTAGCCGTTAAATCCAACGCCGATTGTGAACGCTTTAACAAATATTGTGTTTCACCCTGATCATTTATGAATCTTTCATAGATCTAAAAATACATTGTATATATACGGCAATAAAAAGTATATAATAGTTATTATATGCAAATTTCTATGAATATTTCAAGCAAACTTTTTTAGATAATCAATTAAAATAAAATTTTGCAACTATTATCTATAAAAAATAAAATAGTTGTGAATAAAGTATAACCGTGCAATCATTGTCGTCCCAAAAATCATCGGTACCAATTAATTTAGAATCAGATTCACGAGCTGTATTCAATGTAGGTGATTTTTTTGGTAGCGCATCGTTTAAATGAATATAATTCTAAAATTCATGATGACTTGGTAATTATTGGTTGATTTTAACAATCATTCGAAAAATATTCACTCATAAATGACATAATCCGTATAATTTCTTTCTGCAAAATATTCGAATAATAATTAAAATTTTAAAAATATTAATTAAAATTTTTAAATGATTTATTGTATATTTACAGGACAACAAAGTTTTTAATTGAGTTAATTAAAAACATTTATAAATAACAAAGTACTTTGCAATATTCAACTAGTTGTAAATAAACATATCTTTTTAATTTTTGATAGTATTTTCGCTTCGAAATTATTTGAAATTTCAATTGAAAAGCAATAAAATTTAAATTTTCAAAAATTAATAAAGTCATGCAATAATTTTTTGACAATTACAAACTTTGGCTGAAGAATGACCAAAATTAGAAGTTTCTTCTATTTCATTGGTCATTTTGTCTGGTATATCAGTCTCATAAATACTCGATGTAGAAACTTTTGAGTCGAGAATTTTTAGTGGGCACTCAACTGGCCATTCCATTTTCAATTTTCTGATCAAATATATTATACATTAAATATCATAACTTAATTTAAAAAATTAAAAACACTTCAAGAAATAAGTAAGGATTAATAACATCTCAAAATTTTAATGAATATTTAACTTACTCTCTACAGTCATCAGGTGAAATTTCGTACCTAAAAATTAGTTTATTATCAAAAATTTTCTGAGCAGTTTCAGGTGAAATGCTTAAAATGATCACTTTCATTGTAATTTTTTACACAGGTAGATATTTAAACAAATAAATAATTAAATAAATAAATAAGCAAATAAACATAGATACAATTTAACGACCTACATGAATACTTTCGCTGCCCAAAGACGAGCTTCTTTTGACCCTTTAACTCGTAAATTTGTCTGAAGATAAAATTGACAAGTTCGCAAAAGAAATTAAAATAGAATTAAGCATAAACTGGCACTAGAAGGTTAAATAATAAATTTGTTAACATTAAGGTAAAGTAAGTAATAAATTACATTAATAAACCTTACTTGTTTAAAGTTATGATCAAAAATTTTAATATAGCAAACGTCATTTTCGACGTAGACTTGTATTCGTTCTGCTGCATACAAATGAATTATTCTACCAAAATGTTTTCTATAATTTGTATATTAATATATCAACAAATAATTATCTCCAGGCAAGTTTTCTAAATTATCTACGAGTATTTATTTTAGAAATTAAAAATAAAACTTTAGAGCTTTTTCTTTCTCTTCCAAGAGTAAGGTATTAAGGACTTGCTAGACTGGGAAACAAAAATTAAATTAACTTTAAATTTTGAATTATACATTAAAAACTTTGATTTGACGAAATAAACGTAGCTTTTGGATTCAGAGAGCTAATAATTTAAATTTTTTAAATTGCATTTTGTAACCAATTCAAAAGGCTTTTTAATTATTCGAAAATATTTTATGTCGAATATTTGTAGAATTGTTGTGCGTTCAAATTTCAGTTTAATTGATGCTTAGCAATCAGATTCCTTTTAAGGTTTACAAGTAGTGAGATGAGATGATGCTCTTACATTTTGTAGAATCATAAAAAATAAAACT